TGTCCGCAGACTGCTTGCATAAACTCTAAACACCTCATACCCTAAACCCTAAACTTCCCTAAGCCCTGAACCAAACCCCCGAAAGCCTAAACACCAACCCCCCCCAAACCCTGAACCATGAATACCCTCAGACCTTAAACCCCAAACACTCCCAACCCCTAAGCCCTCTCTGAAGCCTGAACCCCAACCCAAACCCTACCACCCGCACGCCCTGAACCCTAAACACTCCCTGAAGCTTGAACACCCTTAAACGTCACGCCTAAACCCTAAATCCTGACCCAAACCCCAAACTCCCGCAACCAAAACCCAAAATGCTAAACAACCCAGAGCCCCACACCCTTCACGACCCCAAAGCCAACACCCCAAACACTGCCAAACCCTGAGCCCTAAGCACGAAACCCTACACACGCCCCCAAACCCTAGGCGCACCCAAGCCCTAAAACCTCGTACTATTCATGCATGTGATTGGGTTTTGCAGTTGCTTGAATCGCAGAGGTTCGGGTTTGGTGCTGGAATCGGAGCCTTGCGGTGCTTGATTCACACTGTTTTGGTGCTTGAATCGGGCAGTTTTGATGGCTTCATGGGGCAGTTTGGGTGCGTGAATCGGTAGTGCTTGAATCGGAGTTGGTGCTTGAATATGCTCTTGCGTGATTTCACTATCATGACCAGGATGATGGCAACCGTATAGCAAGAATGGTTGCAGAGTCGGTCGGCAATGGTGATGATGATCATCATAATCATAATCATCATAAGCATCATAATCATCATAATCATCATGATCATGATGACAAAGTCGATGCTGCTTATGATGGTGATGATGATGATGACGATGATGATGATGATGATATGGACCTGATGATGACGACGATGATGATTCGAGCCCGATCAAATGGTGATTAACCAAATGAGGATCCTGTGGAGCCACTGTGGAGACATTCCATGTCAACAGCTGGCCTCCCAGCCCTGGGCTTTGTAGGAGGCTTTCAAGCTCGCTCTCTTCAACGCAACTCCTTGCAGAATCTGAAGTTGACTGGAGAAAAAGTGAAGTCAGCCTGTATGGCTGAGCTTCCTTGTTTCGCAAGCCCAAAAAGATGAGCGTCGATTGCCGAAACTTGTAAATAGTGCGGGAAGGATGCTCGATTTGTTGGTGGCGCATCATCACCTTGACATTTCATCGTTTTGGCCCCTTTTTCCCCGCAAACATCCCGTGAAGCTCAAAGACCTCCATCTGACGGCTGAGCATGGCTCCGCATGGCTCCGCTGGCTGAGGCCAATGCTGGAGTACTTGGGTCAACATCCAGCCGGTGGATTTTTCCTCAAGTGTGGCTTCAGAACTTTCCAACGAAAGCAACCGCTTCCTGCACAAGCCATGAGAACCGAGGCGCCGTATCTTGATAAGCCTTGTTCATGATGAAGACGATGAAGATCTGAATCACGCAACAACCACGGCCGAAGCAGGAGGCCAAGCCTGGGCCCGTGGCCATGTAAAATGCGACCAGAGCTTGGACGCCCCAATAGATGAACCTCCATAGGCCGGCAACGTGATGGGGTCAAATCTTTCAGGCATTCCAGCCCGAGCCATCAAGCCCCGGACCCCAAGCGCCGGTCGAGGATGCGCACTAGCTTCACCGTATCATAAGCGAACACCTGAGGGGACGGGGAGAAGAGGTGTTTTTTCCCGTGCTTGATGTTAGGCGCAAGGCATGGTCGGGATCTGGCAGGCTCTCCTCGATCCAACTTGGAAGCAACCTGAAAAGTACCGAAGGGGTTTGTTCAAACACCACTTGATGTGCCAACAAGCTGTGCACCCCATTGCGCCGTCTTCACAGGCCTGCATGAAGTCAGAGATGCTCAGAAGCACGGTATTGCTCAAAAGCCATGCCTGAAGAGGCCCCTGCACTCAAAGACTACATTCTATCACTTCTCGCTTGAGCTTGGCATCTGCTGGCAGCTGGACATTGAGTGGCTACGGCTTGTGTTCTACCATTCATATGCATGCCATGCAACCCCCTCCGGGCTCGGCAATCGAACAGCAGTTCTGCAGGGACGCACGGCATGCTTGATGTTCAGCTGGAAAACCGATAGAGATAGACAGCGTTGTCTCTGCCATCCGTAGCCATAAGGCTGTAGTCGGGGGAAATGCTCAAGGAACCCAACCACACGCGATGCTCAGGGATGGCAAACAGCGGCTTCCCTGAGCTCAAACCCCATGCACGAATGGAGCTGTCGAGAGCTGCGCTGATGATGGTTTCGCCGCCACCCTGGCTGATGGCCACAACCCGGCCACGGTGCTCACGCTGCCAAATCCTCTCCCAGTCCTCCCCAGGCGTCGCTGCATCCGCCCGCCATGACACGAGGTTTCCGGCCGCGTCCCCAGTCACGAGGCCTTGCATCTGTGGAAGCACCAGCACTGCAGAGACAGCAAAGCGATGTGCGGCCGGGTGCCGGGACAACAAAGCAAGGCGCTCCAAGCTGCGTAGCTCTACGGTCCCATCATCTAAGCCAATCGCGAAGCTCCCGTCAAAGCCAGCAGCTAAGCTGTGCACGCTGCCATTGACCTCGATCCTACGAGGCTCGAGCGGCTGCTCGCTCTGCTCGCTTGGTTCAAGATTATCTACATTCCAGCTCATGACTGCCTCGCCGGCAGCTGCTATCAGTGTATCATCATGCACATACACGTAGCACGGACGCGTGGACGAAGAAACCACCACATCCAAGAGAAGTGTTCCGTCTTCCTTCCATGCATGCACTCTCCCACCAGCAAGCCCCGCAAAAAGGCATCGGCCATTCCAGGCAATGGATGTTACCGAAGTCTCTGGGTCGAACTCTGCCAGGTGATCAGCTGGCACACTTCGGCCAGGATCTCCGGTGACCGGGTAGACCTGCCGAGGTTGATCACCACCAAGTGCATATCGCTGTATACCGTGTGTTGCAGTGCCCACGAACAGCTCATCATCAACCAATATCCTTAGGAAAAATAGCTCTTACATTGTCATTAAATTAAAGAACAGAACACATGTTTCACTAAGAAACGCTCAGACCTACTTCGACGCATAATCAATCTTGGGTGCGCTGTCGCAGGCAACTCTACAGTCTAGACCTATCTCCTGGCAGCTAAGACTCACACGACGAACCCAGTCATCTGCGACAGCACCCACCTTTACGTCTGCCCGTCCTTCTTGCCAGTTTTTTTCAATCTCGACACGCCGCTCCATCTCTTGCTGTTCTACTTCCTGCGCTCTCTTCCTGAAAGCCGCCGAGAAGGACGCATCATCCATTTCACCTACATCAGCGGCATCTTTGCCCTCCCCTTTGGAGTCATCAGCATCACCACTGTTCGGGCCTTCCACATTCTCAGGACACGCGGAGCAATCACATCTTGCACGCCACGGGCGAGAATGGTATTTTTTGCAACGCCTGACTTGAGTTCGCCAATGAGCTCGCCGTGAAGCTCCAGCACACCCAAGTCCAACACTTGCTGGAAGCAGCACGTTTGCAACATTTGCAACGTGCGAGGGTCTTGGATGTCTTGGCAGGCTGGCCGAATGCGGTCCACACTGCACCGGGTATACCGGGTGTTTAGCATACCGGGCATCAAGTTGCCAACTGCTAGGCAGAGGCACTTCCATGTTGAAATGTTCAACTCTGGCCTGTAGACACTGCATACACGACATATCATATCCTCATAGAATCGACAAAACAATGCTCCATGGAATAGGAGAATTATGACGATGGACCACCTGAAACGAACGCTTGAGCAAAGTTCAGAGCTGCGGGTGTGGTATCTGCCACCAGTCACCACTGACCATGCAAGAGGCTTTTTTACGTTGGTGCTTGGAAAAGTCGCGGCTCCAGGTCCTCCAACCTGAAGCTCTATGCAGAAGTCGAGTCCCCGGCACGGATGGCACTAAGAGTCACTAAGCCACCGACTGCGCAGCGCCTGCAAGATCTCGCAAAGCCTTCCGCAGACCGGCAGCGTCCTACATGCCATCGGGACTTAGAGGGAAAGCTTTGCAAGTAGCTCCCATCTCCTGCGAGAACTCATACAAGGATGTGAGGTTCTGCAGAAGGCACGGCTTGAGGAATCGAACAGGGTCTTTGGTAACCAATGCCTGACAAGCCGCTAAACAAAATGCTAGACATGCAGAGGTCTCGCCCCAGCCACATGCAGGTTGGCCATGCCTTCAGCCGCTCGCATGCGCCACGCAAGTCCTGGAAGAGCGGATCTCACCAGTGCGATTTCTCACGTTTTGGCACATGGCGGTCTTTGGTATAGAACTTGCAAACGGCCAGGTTGTTCTCTGCGGCCAAAATCTGCAAAGCGCATCAAAGACCAACCATCACGCAATGCCGTGCAACATTTCGGCCTCCTGCAGTCGAGCGCCCTCCGTGTCATCAGCCGCAGCCGTTTCGAAGGCGTCCCTGAAGACAAGCCAAATCACCCATGTGTCAAAGCCAAGGCGGAGACCTGGCGGCTTGGAATTCGCCCATGGCCATGGCACGGAACCCGGAATTCAAGAGGACCTCGCAAGCAAGGCCATGCAAGGCACCTTCCAGCAACACGGTGGAACTCTCAGATGAACACGGTGGCGTCCTGAGACCAGACGAGATACGCGCAGCCCCAGAAAAAACTCATCAAATGACATCAATGTGCCTGGCCCGTGTAGGTCTTTGCCTTTTCAAAGGCAGCATCTGCAGCGGTAAGGTTGCCTCCAGAGAGGTGATGTCTACCTCGCCAGGAGTTTTCAGGAATGGGCTAGGAGATGCCAGAAAATGGCAGAACATGGCTGCACTTTGCTCTTCCCAATGCAAGCTGGCTGGCACGCCTAGCAACGACCAAAGTTGCCGTCCAGCAGAGTCTGGTGCAAGTTTGGCGGATCAACAGGGCTGTGCCGAATTTAGAGCGGTGTTGTAGCGGCCTGTTGCTTCTGACACTGCACGCTGCAACTCAGCAGCTGCCATGCGCCCATGGCCCACTGCCAGGGACAGGTGAGAGAGCACCTGAGCCCAAAGTGATGCCTACGGGTAAAAGCATGCCGTGTAGTTGCGCACTTGCGCGAAGTTGTGTTGAGTGTAGGCAGAGCTGTGCAGCACCTGAAGCAACTCCAGCCGATCCTCCCAGGACTCGCCTCCTTTGCTTGACCAACTTTGTGCCAAGGCCTCCCGTCTAGGCTTCACCAAGGCAGACCAAAAAACAAGCCAGCAGCTGCACCTTAAGCTGCAGCATGCTTTGGTACGCATCTGCATGGAGGAGCCAGGGAAGCTGCGCAAGGAAAAATCTCACCTGAAACGCGAACCAATCTTCACACATGCATGCCTATTCTTCTGATGTTGGCTACTGCATCCTCGCAGTCATGGGCCCGTCTTTTTGTCGACGCTTTGTTGGTGTCTTTGCGCACATGTTTGCAACCTCTGCTATGTACAGATTGGCTACAGCCAGTGAGCATCACCATGGACGTAGTTCATGTTCAACGGGTGCCGGCCAGAAAACACGTTCGAGACAAAACCTTTTGCGTGAGCTTCCTAAACTGTCTTTCTCAGCCTAGGGCCTCGTTCCCACAAGCTGAGAAGCGCAGGCACTGCATCCTTCTTGTAGGAAAATCACATGCACGGGCATGCGAAGAATGTCGCCACCAGCCAGAAGAATCTTCGGGCTGGTGGCGGCAGTCTTCGCATGCCTGTAGCGCAGGGACTGGTCCAAGATGTCCTGTCCCTTTGCTATCTTCATGGTCCCATCTTGCAGCCTCTTCATTGTATCAGCCTGCAACTCCTCATGAGCTGCCAGCCAGCACACCTCTGACTCGCCCCATGCCCGGGAGAGGAAACCTCCTCGGGCGCATGATCAAGAACAGAATTCTCCAGCACTTGGATGCTCATGGCAGCTACGTTGCAATTAGAATACCTACAGCTCGACCTCAAATAGCTGACTCGCTCCAACAACTGATTCAACAACTTCAAGACCATGGCAAGCCCAGGCCTCAAAGCTGGCGGCTTCAGATCCCATCTGCTTGCACTCCTGAAAACTTTTTGGCTCTGCTTGGAATGCCTTTGTGAGGGATTCCTGAGTTAAGGGAACAGCCATGTCAGGCAGATGAATCAGCATGCTCTCCACGTACGGATTCCAAAACATGTGATGCGGAGGGCCAACTTCCCCAGCCCAGTCAAGCAACTGCATGTACAGCAGCTGGGTCTCTAAATGCAGTGATGCAAGCCTGTGTACTTACTCTCCATCTCTACAGCGATTCAACAGTCATTGTGCGAGATGATCATGAAAGGACTTGCTACACCAAGGGTCAACACAACACGAAAATTCAATCGGTGGCTAATTCGGTTCTACGCGATCTGTGCGGAACAAAGTTGGTGGCAAATACAAATGTCAAATCTGCTGAAAACTTCTGCCGGCTTCTGGCCACGGCTGGAGGTGTACCATGAAGGAGAGTAGACACTGCAAGAACTATCTAGCCACATCTAGCCCAAACAAGGGAACTTCACGCTCACTACTCTTTTGTCGATCTTTGGTCCCTGGCCTCGGCTGCTTCAGCGTAGCGGCGCATGGCCACCAGGCAGCGCAGCCTGAGCAGCCTGGCCTCCGCCTTGTCCTCGAAGTTCGAGAGGTCTGTCAGGTGCTTCAGGGCTGTGTGGATGCGGCGCTGCACCACGAGCGTCCTGGCTGTCACAGAAATCTTTCTTCATCTTCTTTTGCCTTTCACACACAGCCTGATGGCACTCAGCGACATGACACCCTCTGGCTCCTTTCCGGATGCATGAAATGCAAGGTTCAGCCACGATTTATACACACTTCCGTTATACAATATTCTCTTCTCGTCTGGCCTGCTGGGAAGACAGCACCACCGCAGGCAGCTCAGAAGGCACGAAGTCATCATTGGAGAGCTCGTCCAAGCTTGGCCTCAGCTTTCTGTTTTGCTGTACCTCGCAAGCCGCCACTTCTGTCGCTGAGTTCTTGCGTAGATTTATTCGGCGAGCAAGCGATATCCCGAAGTTGTGCTTTCTGGGCCGCGGGGAAGAGGAGATAGGGCGGGGCGCCGGGGCAGAGTTGGGGCAAGAAGCAATGGCAGGAAGACTGATGATGGTAGTACGAATGATGGCATGGTGAAGAACCAACAGTAGCGGTGAGGTGGGAGCCGGATGGAAGGGGCAATGAGGACGAGCGGCAGTGAGCAATGCGGAGCACGAGCCTGGGAGGCAGGCATGTCCACAGCGCACGACTCTTCAATCAGCTTTCATCATCGTGGTTTCATTTCTCGGGACGGCACACCTTGGGAGGCACAGGCGGTGGGAGCCCTCGTCTGGCTTGCGGGGCCTGTTTTTACACAGCTGTGAGGTAGTCGCTTCTACAGCAAACGTCAGAGCTGCGCCTGATCTTCCTCCAGTCCTGGCGCTGGCGCTGCTACCGCTGCCTGCGCAGAAAGCACAAGAATGCCAGCCGTCAGATCATCAGAGGAGAGCTGAGCAGCTGTGTGCTCACAGCCTCTCGCTCTGGACTCACGGCCGGATATCCTACACCTGACTTGGTTAGCAGCGAATAACATTATCATATGGAAGAAGTGCACTTGGCTCCAAGCCGTCTTGGTGCAAGCAAGCAGCCTGCAACCATCTCGTTCCAAAACCTACATGAAACCATCTGGCAAGGCACTCTGTCTGGTGCCTCGTGCAGAGTGGAAGCAGGTTCCCTGCGGCGCAGGTTGCATGGATCCGACCACACACTACAGCCAGAACTCCTTCGGAAAAGGCCTGCAAACTGAATCCAGCCGTGGCTCAAGGTTCGGGGTGGAAGTGTTTTCCTATCACAAACAAGCGCCATGCAACTGTCTTGCTTGCAAGGAATGCACAACCCATGTTCAGAAAAAATATCCTCCTCTGGTGCAGAGTCCGTGTTCGACTCCATGGCATGAACTTGCGCTCAGCAGGACACAGAATGCCAGGCACTGTTCTGTTTGCTTAATAGGAAACGTCTTAGTCGTAGTACTGGCATGAGGACTGGAACTTTCGTTAGCAGCACAACTGTTTCCGACTTGTGCTCTGGTCAGCCGGCAGGCACAACATCACGCTTGTTTGCATGCGGACAGAAAACGTGCAGACCCAGCTCAACATACTCCACCAATCAAGCCACAAGCTAACGCGAAGCTTTTGTCTCAAGACAACAGCAGACAACAGCATCCTTACCTCCACAGCGCACGAGGCGAGACAAGATAATCAGCTAATCGCTTCCGGACATGCTGTTAACATGATGACAGCTCCGAGGCGCTCCGCCTACAGAGGGTTTACCTTCCACGAATATTTACAGCAGTCAATGCCAGATGGCGCCCTCTGGCACGACTCGCTTATCGTCGGCTATAGCCTAAGCATCAGACACACAAATTCCATCTTGCAGGTCCAAACCCAAACGCCACTTGGCACCCGCACCGGCATTCCACGCATAGGACGTACGGGGCTGCTTGGCCTTGAGGTGCCGAGCTTGTGCAAAGCTTCTGTGACAGAGCACCCCCTTAGGTCTTGGCTGGTGGTCCACCGGATGAGGACTGGTATGGCCGCTTCTGATAGTACGAGCCTACGGAAAGGCATTGAAGACATGCGGAAGAGCACCAGGCGGGTAAGTTGCCCTCGTGCCAAAGGAGCCATGACCACTGAGCCCACGGCTTTCATACGTGTTAGAAGCAGCAGGTCTGCCTCACCATATCATTTCAAAGATTCTGCATGAAGGGCGGCTGTGCAATCTCGGAAGTAGGGCTGCAAGGCAATTGCATAAAGATCTACTATATCAAGCCCTGGGTGGAATCAGACAAGGAAAGGAATGCAAGCCTTTGCCGCTGACCGAGCCCTTGCCCTTGTCCTGTGCAGGCTCAGAGATCACAGAGCTTCGAAACCCTCGGCACACACGTTGGGACTCGGGCCGCTTGCCGTGTTGGGGGCGGCGCGGGCCTGCGCAGAAGTTCAGATTTGCCAGAGGCACTCGTGCACTTCCAAGGAGGTCAGCCTGGAGAATTTCAGCTTGGCCGTCTCATCGCCTGCGTCCACTCTGCGCTCTCGTTCTCGTCTGTGGTCCTGTGCGGAGCGCCAGTAACTTTTGCGGGTTCAGGACTTCTTTTAAGATACGTGCCTCAGTGTACTTCAAAAAGGTTTCCACCGTGGCATCCTCGGCTTGCACAGCCTGTGCCAGCCGCAAAATCTGGAACAAGTCGTGAGGACGGAAGCACAGCAAGACCCAAATCCTGCCTGAAGGAAACCGGAAGTGCTGTCTGCAGTGAGCACATCTTTCATGATCTCCAAGAAATCTGTGAACTTTGCCAGACCATATTGATTGAAGTTCCAGCTCTTCTTGAAGTACTTCTGATAATAGTACCCTAGATGAGCTTCCACAAAGCTTGGCCGATCTGGATCATCCAAATCTTTCTTGAAGTGGTGCAGCAGGAGATGGAGTTCTGCTCTCAGGCTGAGCAGGGTCCAGTCCTCGTACACGAAGTTTGCAAACAACGGCATGCAGTTGCCTAGGTCCAGCACATCCTCTACTGCAAAGACGTCAAGGTCATCAAAGTCGACCTCCACCGGGGCAGAGTCTTGCGCAAACTTCTCCTCCACAGCCTTTGCCGCATCCTCGTCCCCAGCTTCCATCAGCTTCTTCTTTTCCTCCTCCATGGCCTTCTTTGCCTCCTCGAGCTTCTTTGCCGCCATGGCCTTGCGCTTTGAGGGCTCTTTGTAGTCTGCATGACGCCGCCTCCAATCCTGCGCATCTGATTCTCTGCAACATCAGAATACAAGCTTACAAGATGACGGCAAGCAGACCAGACAGCAAGGAGGCAACAGGTGTCAAGAGGCGGGGCAGCTGCCATGTGAGGAATCTCTGCACCGGCCTGTATGGTCTTCTGCCACTTGGTCCATGCCTCCTTGAAGCCGGAACCAGGCTGCAAATCCTGCACGAGAACTGCTGCAATCCTGACAACCCGGTTTAACCCCACTGCAACCTCCCTTTTGCTGCATTTGCAGCACACATGCTCACATTGAACTGCCATCAACACTGCGGGCCTCAGCTCGCTGAGTGAGCTTCTTCTGGAGGATCCATTTCTTCAACAGCGCCCCGCAGTCACCCTCAGACTGCCATGCAAAGCTCACGGAGTCGAAGCCCTCTTCCTTGCTCGGAAGGCTGAATTTGGTGAAGGACTTTGTCAACTCTCGGTCCGAGATGTCCACAACAGCTGATGTCCGGTAGGAAAGCGCCTTCTCCTCCTCCGTGAGCTCCACCACTACGGGCTCTTCCATCTTCACATCCTCCGCAGTCTCCTCGGCTTCCCCAGCCTTTGCATCTTCTCCATTCTCATCCTTTCCTTCCTTCTTCTTCTGAGCTGCCTCCTTTGCCTTCTTTGCTTCCTCCGCCTTCTTGCGCTTCAAGTCCAGCATGCGCTTCCTCTCTTCTGCCTGAGCCTTGCGCTTCTGCTCCTGCTCCGCCTTGGTCCTCTTCTCCGCTAGGAGGAGTGCCTGCACTCGCGCCTTGTACTCTGGAGTTGGATCCCCCATGACCACTACAGCCTTTCGAGCGAAGTCCTGTGGATTGAACCTGCAGAGAGTGGCCTCTCTGTCGGCTGCAATTAGGTTGGCCTTCAGCTCGCCGATGACGTAGTTGCGAGGGAGGGCGGGTGAGACGCTTGCAAGGACCCGGCGCACGCTCCAGTCGTCCAGAGCAGGGACACCAAAATTGGCCTCAGGCTTGTCTGAGGATCCTCCTGCCTTTGGCTTCCACAGGCCGCTCTTCTGCGCCCATTCCAAGATCTTTCGGTCACTCAGCTCGATGTAACCTGGGTTTTTCTCCACGAACTCGTCCACCCAATCGAAGAAACCTTGAGAGGGCAAGCCAACTGGCAGAACCACCTCGGGCTTCTTCCCGGCTGCTTTGCAGGGAGAGGCCTCCACATCTGCCGCTGCCGCACTTGCCAGCATGTGGCAGCTGAACGGCAGTGTCTTGCGCGGAGTGGGCCCGAAGTTCACTTCCACAGACACGTTCTTGTAGGAAAGTGTGGGATATAGGGGCTTACCACAGAGGTGCTCCGGTATGGCCTGGGGCTGACACGACCTGACGCCGTTCAAGAACAGGCTCACGGTGTTCTTGTTCGGGCTGGACTGGTCCAAGTTGAGCAGCACCGCCACCGTAGCATCACGGAATTTGGGGGTTGCCTTCTTCCGTGTCTTGTCATGGATGAACAAGCCTTCCGAATCGAAGCACAAGCTGTCGCACCCATCTGCCAAAAACAGGGAGCTCTGGGCTAGGGAGAAGCCCACCCGGAGGAGCTGCTTCGGCTGCGGCGTTCTATCCCCAGTCTCCATTGGGGTTATGGTCTCTGCTATCCGGACCTCGAACATGTAGCGACCGGACTTGATGCCCGTGTCTGCGCGCACGCCAGCCAAGAGATACTGCATGCCACCCTCTGTGAAAGTCCTCTCAGGGTGATTTCAAGCTAGCATCACCAAGTTCCTATAGGTGCGCCCCACCTCACCAAACGTCCATATGGAATCACGTTTAGCGTGGAGTCTGCTACGTTCAAGGCCACGCTCTTTACCTCATGGGATGCAACTTGCACCAGACAAAAGGTTCTGCGCCCGCCGCCCGCCTTTGGGCCAGAGATCTGCTCGGCGTCCTTCTCCTGCTCCACCGGCTCCGCCGGCTCGGCCGGCTCGGCCGGCTCGGCTGGCTTCTCAGCCTCCGGCTTCTCCTGCCCAGCAAACGGCACGCGAAAGGCTACAAGCAGCTCAGAGTTCAGATATGGTTTCTGTGGCGATTGACGTGTCGCCCGAATCCTCTCACACATCTGGCACAGAAGCGCACATCTTCCAGCACGCATGTAGAATGCGCTCTGTCTACCGCGGCACCCCAGAATACCCCAGACAACAGAATTCCAGCAAGGCTATTGTCTGATGCAGCATCAGCGATGTCGCGTGCTGAGCCACAGGCCGCCAAGTTTCTGCGTTGGCTTGTTGGTTCAGCGGCAGTTGAACATGAAACGTCGTGCCGTGCCATTAGAGCTCAAGACAGGCACTGCACATCCATGTGCAATGCACACGGCCAGCGTAGAGGACCTCCGGGCCTCCTGTGCAGGCCTGGATGGTCCGTGGGTCAGCTATGAACTCACCCGACCTCAGTTGCAAGGAAGCGCATCTTTACTCTGCGCCTAGTGGCAACCCTGTAACAGACGGAAACCAAATCCTCCTAAACCCCGCATTCAATCTTCCCCAAAAATATGCAACGTTATGATATGATTATTTGCTCCGTTAAGAGGATGTTGTGCAACAAGCACAAGATATGCTTGTATCTTTGCAAAGTCTACCATGACGGCAGACAAGCTGGGCGTCTAAAAAATACAGCCGCCACAGGAAAACCATAGGCCGCACCAGGGATGACGCTTGCACGTGGAGGTTTCCGAGGACCAGGGAGTGATAGTTTGACATGTTCCCTGGAACAATTGTGCGCATCGCAATGTGTGTTTGGTTAAGTCCCATTTGTGGAAAAGCAAATGGTCAGAGCGGCAGCCGACAAGCTGCGAGTGGAAAAGATGTGAGGCGGAAATGGGCGCGTGGAAGCTCAGCTTCATGTGCGCAGATACTTGGGCTTAGCTCAGCAGCAGGCATAGCGACCAAGGCACCCAAGATCAAGCATCCCAAAGTCTCCGTAGCCACCAAGGTTCACATGCAAGCCGGGCACGTGGAGCACGTTCCCAACAGGCAAAGGTCAAGCTTTCATTCGCATGCAAATGCGAGACGACAGCAGGCTTTCTCAAATGTGAGCATTTGGTAGCAGGGTGCGCAACCGAAAAGCAGCAACCCAGTGGAACAAACTCAAACCAGTCAAGCCTTGCACAAGTGAAGCCTCACACCAGTCGGCTTGTACCAGGCTGAGATTCCCTACATCACAAACTGCTACTTGTGAAATTTCAATGGGGCAGCACACCCCAAACTCTAATCTGTACAAGGTGAGACATGTGAAACTGCAAATCGCATGCAAGACTTTCGAATTGCGCAGCCACGAACTACAAAGGTTTTGCCGATCATCATATTATGAGAACAACACCGTCACAAAGCGAACAGCTAGGGCTTGCAAAAGCCGGAGGCCACCGCGCATGCCTTCAAACCAAATGGTTCATGCATGTCCACGCTTGCTTCCGGACTGGCTAGCCCAGGACCACCCGTTGAGGCCAATCTTGTGACTGGACTTGTGTTCATAAAGGAGCTGAACTAAATGCTGCGCGAGTTTTGCCAACTGCTTCCTATGGTCAGCCTCCAAACCAGTAGAGCTCGTGGAGCTCATCTGTTGTTCAAGCTGCTGGCTTGGGGAAATCATTCCCTGGCTGCAGTTTTTTTGATGGTCAGAGGTAGGGCTGGCTCAACCACCCTGTCGAGAACGATGGCTTGCAATGGCGATGGCTTTATGATTATGTTGGTACTAAAGCGCACACCTACTCTCTAGACTCAAGACATTCAACAATAATAATATATAACGCACAACTTCAAGCCAATGAATTAGCCCTGAACCTGTAAAGAGGCAGCACAACATAACAAATTGAAACTGCTGACCCTGAGTTGCCGCAGACCGGAACTTCCATGCGGCCACTGGTACATAGGCGCTTCATCCGGAAGCCTTCATCAGCAGACACAAAGCATAAGTAGCAAACACAACTTGCCCAGTTTGAATTTCAGGGGGTTTGTGGACTTGAGGCTATATCAAGGCTGAAGGCTTTGAACAATACTGACCCTTGACCGTACAGAACTCAATGGAAGAGCTGCCCTCTTTTCCAAATTTGGTTATGCCTAGACTTGGAAAGTCAAACACGTCTCTTGTATGCAAACGACTGGCTGCGATATAGTGCGGGTAGGTGGAGACATGGTACTCAGGTTTCCCGTGGCGTGCTGCAAATTGGTAAAGAGCTGCTTGCAGAATCTTTTCATTTTCATTCTTTGAAGACAGCATTGAAAGTAACCCGGTCAAAACTCGAGCTGCAAACCGAAATATGACAGTTCGTTCTCCGCGATTTTTGGGTCGCGGCCTGTCCAGATGGAAGGATAATGAACGCCTTTTGGTCAGCGCGGCACGACACCAAGTGCTGTCAGTCTCTTCTGCGTCGCAAAAATCACACAGGAACAGAGGTGCTAACGTTGCCACACCCTGAAAAGTGCCAGTGCACCCCATCCGGACTGCCGAGAGGTGTCCACAAGATCATCAAGCAGTTACTTCGTATGAACCCATCTGCTGCACGGTTTGCATGCAAGGACCGCCCGTATGCCGGCAACAGCTTCTTGAAACATACCGTTCATGATCTCATGGGCGTGCTTTTACATGGCATTTCTGAGACATGCAATTTGTCTCTGACAAGTTCCAGGACAGCTTGGCTCAAGGCGCATCACAAGCTTCTTTTGCATGAATGTATGCGCAAAGCTAAAAGACTTGTCGAGCAACCCCTGAGGAGCCAAGGGGATTGTGGGCTGGCCGTGGGTCTGTCGAAAGTCTGCTCACAGGCAGGGTTCCATGCCAAAGCAGCTCCAGGACCTGTGCCACTGCCTCCTTGGAGGCTGACGCTTAGGAAGACCCCTCATAATTTTGGGCAGCTGACGCCGTGTTATGGATTCCTTCCCTAGCATTCGCAAGCAATTGCGCAAGCCTGGAAACTGGAACTTGAGATTGCGGCCAACTAGATGTCTGGAGCTACTGACGGTACTGATCCCATAATTTGCAATCTAGAGCGCTTCCGCAAGACCACGTGAAACGAAACCCTCTGTTGCTATTGAGGGAGGCCTTGACCGGCTGGGGCTGTGGACGAGCGTTTGAGTGGTGTGCTTCGAAGTCTATAGGCCGGAGGATGCACGATAGAGCGCAATTACGCTTGGAAAGCTTGGAGTACTCTTGACAGTCAAAACGAGAGGGCAGCTCCTCCACCACAAGCCTACCTTCAACAAGCACCCTGCGTACTCAGAACTAGAGGGTCTGCTGCTACCACCAAAGTTATCCAAATACTGCCTAGACACTGGAAAGTTCGGACAAGCAGGGCCGACAAATAAACACAAACCCGAACACAGCATTGGACCTACCTAGTTTTTTGGGTGTGCCCGGATACTGAAGTCCTCCTGAACCTTGGAAAAGACCTTCACAAGTATGAACAACTCTCAAACACAGAAGTGCTTCTCACTGGCTAAAGTTTCCACAGCCTGTCTGATTTCCCAGAACAAACTGTAAACACCCCTCTCTGAACTTCCATCTTCTTGCAAACTTCTCTTTCTACAAACTACTACCTCTCAGATACACAACACAAGTTGAAGCAGCGGTCTTCACAAACCGTGGCATGATCACGTGCATTTTTCGCTGGTTGTCCTTATAAACCGCAAATGACGCCTGAGTAAGAACACCAGTTCTTCAGTTGGCAACCAACACATCCAGCCGGGGAGTTTATGAGGCCACAGGCTTGAACAAGAGCACAGTCTACCATCCGTGGACACCGAGCATGCATCCAGCTCCTGAAGCCTTTGGCATCAGATTATGCCAGGTCGCTATTGAGCACGCAGCTTGCCAAGTGTGTGAGAAGAAAGTGCTCAGCTTGAGCTAGCGTTGTCCTGGAAGATGAGCTGCTCCCTGCATTTTAGGGGAGGTTCCTTTGCCTCTCCTTCCCCTGTGTGAAGTGTCGAATGCTGCCCACGGCATGATCCCGTGCCTCGTCTGCAGCCGCCGCCTGGATCTGAGCTAGACAATGAAGTGCTAGAACCTGACGCGCGTTGCCTTCGTGAAGACCTTTTCCAACGGCACATGTCGATGCATAGAACTCAGCAGAGTGTTAGAACCGTCTTGGCATGCTCATTGGGAAGCCTGAGGGTTGTGGCATGCTGAGAGGAAGCGCTTTCATTGCGCCACAAGGACGTCAGGCTCTACAACGTCAACATGACTGAAATGCTCCGCGTCTAAGTGCGTGAGGCCACATCTCCTGGGCGTGTCCTCGTCTCTGCATGGTTTTCGTCCGGAGGTAAACTTTGAAACGCCGGAGGCTAGATGCTGTGGCATTCAAATCTGCTGCGAAGCGCGCCACCTAAAATGAGCTCTGAAGCTTGCCATTGCTTGATGCAGCTCTCACGCTGTATTGGCCTGTTGCGGGATCCTGCACATGCCTTGGCGAACTTTGTTGGTTTCATTTGGTTTCAAATTTCGCATGCCTTTCATCTGATTTTTCCTTCCCTCTTGTACCTATACCTTGATGCACAGGTACAGTGCGAGATCGCAGCGTAGATCCATCACGACTTGCTACGCTTGGGGCCCTGAAGAGAGCGGCCATGAGCTGTGGTTGCGGTGAGGCTGCCAAGCCAGCATTTTACTTTATGTGCACGATGCCCAGTGGAGCACGACAACTAGACACCCAATGCGGCAGGGGGGACACGCCCTTTGTAAGGGTTACTGGATTGATGACTTGATGAGGGCTGGGCTAGAGAGTGAGCGCTGGGAGAGGGGTAGAAGATGGAGTGGAGAAAGTTACCGGCGTATCCTTCAAGAAGCTTTTTCCCAACCATTCTTGGTTTGCAGCTATCCTGCGCAGTGGGCGTAGCCCGCGCGCAGTCCTCGGACTGCGTTTAGCGCATAGAAGAAGAGAGGCAGGGAGTAGGCGCAGCCAGAAGAACAACAAGAAGACGAAGAAGAAGAGAGCGCACACGCACAGAGAGCGCGCGTGATTTTCTTTGCGGCTCGACTGGCGTACAAGTCAAACAAGTCAAAGACATAGCTCAATATGCAGGCACGGCAAGCTGGCAAGGAGCTATTTGACGGAACTCACTTCAGATCTTCAGTCTGCGTGCCCAATTGTGCACTCGTGCCCTGGTTTTGTACAAGCACGTGTTTGCTGATCATCCGACTTCTCGACGACGCGCTTCAGTCGGTGAGCTGGCGTTTTTTGCGAGCTCCCTGCGGCCTCACTTTTGTGCAGGACATCTGCCATGCAGCTAGAGTCTAGAGCTTCTGCAAACATCTTGCTTTTGCGTTACAGGGGACGGGCAACTCGCTCGTTGTCCCTCTCTCTCCCTCATCTTAGCATCTAGGGGTGCATGCAGCCTGCAATGCTCACCTTTAATGCACCAAGTTCAAGGCCTGCCCTTCCTCTGCTTTTGCCTCCGGCATCGGCTCGTCGGCTTCTTCCGGCATGGCTATAACCACGGATGCGTTTTGTTTAGACAAACGTCAAATGGCAACCAAATCCAAGCTTGATACCCGTCATGGACTTTGATGGACATGTCTGCGAAAACATGTTCCAAGTAAGTGTTTGCACGAGGCACTGACATGGCTCAAGCGGCTGCCGGTCAGTCATGCTTTCGCAACTTTTCGTTCTTTCAAATCCCAGAGAGCTTCCCATTGGCTGAGTCAGCGTCAACTTGGCTGCGAGCGATGTCTACTGCTCTATGAAGCCGGCAGGCTCAGACCCAAAGCCTGGAAACTTATTGAACCCCCGAAGGCGTGTGGTAGCATCTCATGAATTGAAAGAGCCCACTTTGCCTTCACCCTGCACGGTGAAGTGTGCAGAAAGACCTGCTTCATATTGGATCTACCATGATTTACTAGGATTACACTTAATTCGCAAGCTGGGCCTTTGCACTCAGCCCTTGCGCAACGCACACGCATACTTCTCTGATTCATCATTGCTTGCTGGTCTCCCTGCTAAGGACATAAAATCTGCAAGGCGGTAATGAGCCCTCAGCTCTTTTTTCTCCGCTCCCAACCTTCACGCCAGCTAGTCAGTTTTCTTGTGCTCCTCACTGCTCGCGGCGAACGGATGAAAGGGAACCACGTACCTGCTCGAGACCACTTGTCTAGCAGCAAAGGCAGGGCGGAAAGCATGCATGCATTCACAAAGCAGCTTGAAACTTTTTGTTGTTTCTCAGAAGATCTCTCCGCTCCGCTCTGCTGCGAGCATGCTCGCGAACTGGGAGGATGGGTCGCTTTCCAACGTTTTTGGATTCCCAAGCTCTGCCACATGACCATCACCCAAAACGACCACAGTGTCGTAGTCTTTCAAGGTTGCCAGCCTGTGTGAGACCACCAGCAAGGTTGTTCCTTCAGGCAATCGCTTAAGGGCAGCTTGGACCTTCTCATCTGTGCCCTTGTCAACCCTCGAAGTGACCTCATCCAAGGCGACAATTCGGGACTTGCGCAGCACAGCTCGTGCTACGCCAATCAGCTGCTTCTCCCCGGGCGAGATGCCGCCGGTTGCGGTGACTCGGCGGTCCAAATCCCAAGTTCCAAGCGAGGCCGCTTCAAGCGCATGCCGGACTTCCTCGTCACTATAGCTCCCTCGAGGATCCACGTTCTCACGAACGGTGCCAGTCACCAAAAAATTGTCTTGCGGTATGGCCGTGACTGCAGATCTCAGCCGGGCTAGGCCAATCTGGCGGATGTCCACACCGTCAACTCGAACAGAGCCCTCCGAGACTTCTGAAGTACGCAGCAGGAGCCGCAAGAGCGTCGACTTGCCACTACCCGTCCTCCCCACGAGCCCGATCCTTTGGCCAGCTGTTAGCTCCAGGGACAAGCCTTGCAGCACTGGTGGTAGATGCTTGCGGTAGCTGAAGGACACATCCTCAAAGGAGATGCTACCGCTGACAGGCCAGGAACTCGGAAGGGAAAGGTCAGAGGGCAGCTCACGAGAAGCCTCAAGGTCTGTGCTCTCCAATGAGTCCGAAATGCGCTGAAAGGATGTAAAGCTGGTCTCCGTCTGGGCAATAGTCCGCACCGTCCAATTGAGCAAGCCGCAAACCGATAGGGCCTGGGTTACTGCAATGGCCGCGCGTGCAGCTGCCCAAGCCCCAGCATTGGCTCCCGTCCATAGACTGAGCATCGCTGCCGCAAGGACAATTAAGTTCCCAAGCAGCTCCATTCGCAGCGAAAACCACCGATCCACGGCTTTGGCAGCGAAGGACACGGCCGTGTTGGAATCAATGGCGCGTAGAGCTCGCGCCTTGGCACAGACGGAGCGAGTGACTTAGAGTGAGTAGTAGAACAAAAACATTTCGCCTTTTTTGCCAAGTCAAGAGGAAGCTCAGCAGGAGGACATGTGACATAGACATAGGTACTTCGCTCATGGCATGGCTGACAGAAGTCGATAAGCTCCGGACTGCCATCACATTGCCGAGCCCCAGCTTGCGGATCGTGATCACTCCAGAAGCGGCAGCGGCTTGCTCTGAGTAGACAGGGGACCGTGCAAGAGGCTCCAGCCGCTTCAGTTCGCGCGCCACAGGACGGTAGTATTGCAGGGATCGTGTGTACAACCAAAGCAGAGGAAGCATGATCACTGTAAAGGTTGGGGTTGCCAAGACAATCGTGACAGCAGCTCCAGCAAGTGTAGTCACACTGGACACTGCCGATCGCAAACTGTTCGGTAGGCTGTTGTCGATCTGCTCTAGATCTTTCGAAAAATTTTGCAGCAAACGGCTGGAAGGATTTTGATCAAAGTGAGAGGTTGATGCCCTCACAAGGACCTTGTCACAAAGCTCATCATGGACGGCCCGCGAAGCACGCCGAGAAAAAGCTGCTATTAGCAGAGATCTACCAAAGGTCAGTGCAGAGGCGAGCAGCCCCCAGAAAATTACTCCCAGCATGTAGTAAGCCAAACCGCGCTTCATGGTTGCGTCTGCTGTCCACAATCCTATCCACCATTGCTGTGCAGCGGTTGCAGCATAGCTTGCCATCACTGCTGCACCTGCCAGGCCGAGCAAGATGGGACTTCTGGCGCTTCTGAAGTAGTGAGCATACAGCCGCAACGGCACAGCTCCAGAAGCTCTCGCCTCTTCCACAGTGATTTGTTTGCTGGGTTTGCTGGGGACGCCGCTTTCACTCTTGCTCTCCTCGACTTCAGGCTCCTCCACCTCTTCCGTCTCCATCTCCTTTTCTGCGGTCTCCTTGCGACGGTTTGGCACAGAGCTGTGAGACAGCTCAAGCCTGCCCGACTCAGCCAATTCTTCATAGCTTCCCACAAAGTCCACCTGCAGCTCTGAGGCATCCGACTCGTGGCCAGAGGCAGACTTCATGACAATGATGCGGTCGCAGCGCTGGAGCCATGGTCCAGGATCACTGGAGACCAGCAGGGTGGCCATGTCTTGCAAGGGGCCGTTCAAGCAGTTGTTGATCACTTGCAGGGTAACCTGCGGATCCAGTGCCGCAGTGACATCATCCAGCACGCAAGCACAAACATCACGGACTTGGGCTTTGTACATGGCCCGAGCCAATGCCAATCGAGCTTGCTGTCCACCACTGAGGGATGTTGCGCTGACTTCGTCATTGGCCTCAGCAAAGTCGACAGCCGCGACTGACAGGGCCCGTGAGAACGCATCAAAATCCACCTGAGGTGGAAAGGGCGCCGTGTTATCCATCCAAACTCCGGCGACAACCTCGAGAAGAGTTCGCCCCTCCGGTATCCACGGTTGTTGAGAGCAGTATGCCTCAGAAGACTTGCATCTGGGTAGGACTGACATGGACACGCGCAGATGGAGTCTGAGTTCAAGGCCACATTCTGCGGTGGGGCCAGCAAAGGTGTGCCGGGCAACCTCGGCAGATCTCGGAAAGGCAACAGGGAGGGGTTAGATTTCTGTGTTTTCGCGTTAGGCCGGCAACATGGCCGCTGCACAGCCCCTCTGCACATATCGCGGGTTCAATCTGCGCCTTTCCTGTTGAAAAAACCCTTGGGCCACGCTTGCGCGAAGCTTGCGCGCACAGTCCCGCTAGCGTCCCTTTTCCTGAGTCTGATGTTCCGTAGTCGTCCTTGCAGAACGCATCCCATACAAACAGCACATCTAACAAAAAGGATCGGCTACAATGTGAAAACCGGACAAGGGCAAGGTTTTTTCAATGACGCACACATGCAGCGCGCATGCCATCCGAAGTGTTTCTGCGATTGGACTGGAGCAAGAATGTGCCATGGATCAAGAGCGAAAATCTATGTTTGTTATGCAAATTGACTTTCTAAACATCTCATAGTTAGGATTTCTGGTGATCTATCTATTAAGCGAAACTCTGACCTTATGAAACGTTCTGAAACGTTCTTAACTTCTGCTGATATAAGAAATCTGATTTCACCTGCACTTCTTGTAGTAGCCCTACAAGTCATAGTAATAATAATAATGTTTGTTGTACGCTGCACCCCCAAGCCCGCATAGGTCACCAGGCCGGACTCATAGTTACATCATCCCCAGCAAAGCTCTTGAGAAAGAAATCCCATGCTAGCCACTAAAAGCAAAAAGCCATACAAAGCAACATGCCAAGCCGCTCTCCCAGGAAAGCGCGAAGGAGTGTGGACTTCCCAGACCCCACAGGACCCAGAACTCCGACGAGCTCACCATGTGCCACACTGAGGTGCTCAGAAACCACCAGTGTTGGCGCGGCGTGGTTTTCATGATCCTTTTTGTGGTCCCTGCCAATGTGGTAGCTGCCTGGGACAAGCAACAAGGGCAGCTGAGCGTCCTCGGACATCGGCGGCCGGGGAGCAGCTGCTTCTTCCAGAGCTAAAAAGGCAGCAATGCGCCTCATGGCTGCTTGGCCCTCTGCGAGAGCATTCAAAGCACTGGGATAGAAAAGCAACGGAAAGCGGATCTGATTCAGCAGTGAAAGTGCTGTGAAAATCATCGCGGCATTGAAGCTAGCTCTTTGGCCTGCGACGTAGGCAAGCAGCACGACAGCAATCATGAAGGGGGGCAGGGCACTGAAGTAGGAGAGCAGGTAGGCGCCTACAGTGTCCCGCTTTCGCTGAGCCTGCAGTTCTGAATCGCGAAGCCGGCGGATCAGCCGCTCAAAGACATCCTCCCAGCCCATCTGTCGTAGTGCCCGAATGCCATTCAGAATTTCCGAGGTCTTCGAAACCCGCGCATCCGTAGCTTGCAAGCACGTCTTGTTAAGTCCACTCAGCTGACGCTGAAGACTGGCATTGAAAGGCATGAAAACAATCAGAATGACAATGCCAGCGAAACCAGCCAAACCGAGATACCACCAAAGGAGCACCGAGTATCCAACTACTTGAAAGATCCCATCCCACAAAGTGTGTAGGGAGTACGTCAGTTCTTCCACCTTCCCCGTGTCCACCTGCATGAGTGTGACAGGAGGAACAGCAGCTACAGATTCATGCAATCGCAAGCTCTTCTCATAGATTGAAGCTTGCAGCATTGAACGCACCCTCGTAGCCATGACGGTCGTCTGATGGAAGAACTGATTTTCTACCAGCGTTTTCAAGCATAGAACGGAGAAAAGTGCCAGCGCGGCATTCCTTCCACCAATGATATCTCCCTGCTGCACAGCTCGGAGCAAGGGCCCAAGGAACAGCGCTGGCAAGAATTGCACAGCGGTGTTCACGAATCGGAGCACCCCAGTGCTTAGGATACGGCCCCTGTGCAATCGCAGCAAGGCATTGCGCAATTGGACCTGGTCTAGCTGCTCGTGAGGATGTGAGCCGCGGCGTGCTTGCCAGGAACTTTGCAGCAGCGCTGATGAAAGCTCCCTTGCAAGGTCTGCAGCTCGCCTCGCGACATGTCACAGCTCCAGAGTCAGCAACATGGCAAAAAAAACTTGAGGTTGATATGACTCTCTTGCAGACAGGATGCATGTCACTGGGAGCCGGTAGCAGCTGGATCGTTCCGATGGGAGGTGGTCTATTGCCGCGTCGCATCAATGCACTTACCCATGCAAACGTCACACACGACCACAGTTTCCCAAGGCCACCCGACTTGGGAGGAACAGGCGCAATGCTAGACTGGCTAGAGAGCTGCACAGACTTTCGCTTGCATCTTCTAGAGCGGGCTACGGTAGACGCAGTAAAGATTAGCAAAGCACACGGCCAGCGGAGATCCCGACTGTCAGGACTGGAAGGCAAAGGTGCACGCTGCACCCAACGGCCAGAAATGAAAGGCTTTGGCTTTGCCTGCAGCCTCGGGCCAAGTCCTCTGTGAGGAACCGGCAGTTGTAGGGCCATGGGAACCACAGCATCTTCCATGATCGATTTTTTAAAACTAACTGCAACTAGTGCTGCTGTTTCTTGCACCATGATCATGACGTTGTGAAATCGCATTTCATGCTGTTGCGGAGCGTACTTGTTACATTGCAGCTTTCTTGGGCCAGCTCTGTTTCCGCAAACATGCTTCTGCCGACCAGAAATCCCACAGCACAGCTTACAGCGTACATCACGGCTCAGCCAAGGCGCGCCTGACACTCAAGAAAGTCACTGTGGCACAGGCACCGAGGTAGCCCCAGTGCTCCGAGGTGAGATCTGTAGCATCATTTCCCCAGACCCTGCCAGATGACACTGCTGTGACAACTGGGTATGGTTGCAAGGCATGGCAAGGCATCAAGGGCACGGATTGCCTGTAGAAGTACTCCGGGAATCTGTATGAAGTGTCCCCAAGAAGCTTTGCGCGACAGTATGGTAAATACCTCAAAGGAAGTCAGCGATTGTCTGCCACGTGGCTCTACAGTATGTGTTGCCAAGGTGCAATGCGTACAGCTGGTAGCCGATGAATGCGCAGCTTACTACCTCGCGAAAGTTACAAAGGATCAGTCTTGCTGCTTGAATCCTGGATGAGTTGTGAAGCCAAGCGGCGGAAAGCACCAGTGTCAACAGCCAGGCAATGCAATGCACTAACCTTCCATGTCATGAAATGCATCATCGGCGCAGACAATGGCACCCCTTTGCGTGCCTTATAAACCAATTGTCGGGAACCAAGTCCTGCATGGTGGTGAACACAGCATAGCTTGCACAGCGCACATCTAGGCCTCTGCATCAAGCTCATCGTGAGCAGTTCGAGTGCTATCAGTCTGCCTGTCACAGAAAACTCCACGAACCCATGACTTCTCAGAGCTTCAAGGTGCCTGGCCTGGTCATAACCCGTGCGGAGCATCGGACTCTCTCTCAAGACTGGTTAAGCTGGTCAGCAGCTAGTGATAAGCTCATAGCTGCTATCAACTTATCAGCTGCAGACTTTGTATCTTTGTATCTGATGGGTAGGGTGCAAGCCTGATGCAGTGTCTGCTGAAGGTTGTTGGTGCACAGCTTGAAATTCGCCTGTTGCATCATTCTAGTTCCTGCGGGTCTCAGGAAGAATGACCACAGCATTCGTGAACACATGACATGCCAGCTGCGCCCGGCAACATGGTTCAGGCTTTTTGTCTGGCTTTGCGGACGCTGTGTGGATACACATTGACACGGTCCTTTAAACACTTCTGACACGGGGTCAGTGAACACGTCACGAGATGCTAAAAAGACCGGGAGAAACATAGATTACCTGAGAGTTTACCTTAGCTTCCTGTCCAGAATTGTCATGTCCAAAACTTTCTGGGTGAGAAGTTCACGCCCAGCAGGTCACTCTGTGCCACCTGCAAGTCGCGTGACACATTGTCCAAGCATATCTGAGCACCGAGGGGCTGAAGGAGCTGAGTGCCTGGCGGAGCCATCGACCCGTGGATGCCGAAAAGCTCTCGGTCAGCCCACGGGAATAACAGCGGCTCTTCACAAAACGCCTCCTCCGTTCGTACTCTATACTCAATAGCAAGTCCAGAGCGGGAAGCGTTTTGCGAGGCCAGAAAGACCATAACAACCGCGGTGCTTCGCGTGCAGATTCAAACAGCTAACGAAGAGCCAAAGCACCTGTCAGCTGCTTTGGGCCATTCGCTGTGTCCACGTTCTTACAAACTTTAAACTCATAGTACATGCCAGGAAACTTCCAAGTTCCACAACGAGTGGCTGCTCACATCCTAAAACGCCTACAGAGCCTACTGCGTGCAATGACATGGTGGGATTCTGGCGTGGGCTCTCAGACCCATCCCTGCCATGAATTCGAGCACATCCACGCCCGCTGGGCTGCGTGACATTCGCGATCTGTTTGGGAATGTCCACGGCCTATTCTCAACAAGCACGCTCTTGGTCGCATCACGAGACCAATTGCAGACCTTTGGAGGACACTTTGGTTGCGATTTGTTTTTGCAGTTTGCACGTTCATGTTGAGCCGTGCTCGGGTCAAATGGAAGTTCTAGGCTTGAGTTGGTTTCTCCACATGCACGAGCATTGGCATGATCTGAAGCCACGCACGCATCATACCATTGTATGGGCGCCGTAGCAACAGCTGGCTTGAAAGAACCATGCACATCCACTGCAGTTCGGTACAAAAATTCTGAACACTGCTGGGTTTACTATTGCTGGATCTTGGGAGTGCGCATGGCTGCCGGGTAAAGTCTAGTAAGCATTTGCCTCAGCTAGTCAGAGCACTGCTGGGAGTTTGGAGTTTTTTCCAGCTAACATGAGCCTCCAAATTGGGCAAGGTCATGCAAGGTCCAAACTCCCGCATCTACGGGTATCAGTCGACATTAACTCCGCCTGATGTCAGCTCAGAACCTGCCTACACCTACGTCTTGAATTGGCAACCTGCGCTAGCCCTGCGGCCAAACAAGTTGGCAACACCATATGCATTCATGCAGTCATGCCGTGATATGGCGTAATGCAGGTCCGCAGGATGCTGGCGATTCGATTCCTGGGGCCGGTTTCCGCTGGCCTTTCAGAGTCCTGGAGGCATATCCACATGAACCTCGTTCAGCTGGACAAAAGCCACATGAAAGTTGCAACAGCTTCTCCAAGCGCGTTGCGTCCGAGCTCGGTGCATTGGAGATGAGTTTGCCTAGGTTGTGCAGCTGTGCAGTTCTGCGGAGTCCACGTCATGACTCTGAATACATGAGGATGAGACCCTCGTTGAAAAGGACTTTTTGAAGGATTTCGTCTCCGTATCCCTCCTGTGTGGATCCCGCCATCAACGCAACGCAACCGCCACAAGCTCCTCCAAGCATGGCTGTCCTCAAAGGAACTGCCACAAGCCGACGACCTGGCACCGTGGCACTGGCTGCGGGCTGCGGGTTGGTAGCCTTGTTTTCGTGACCTACTCAAACGCACGCCAGCAGAGCTTGCCAGCCGTGGTAACGGGGGTGAACTCATCCTCAACTGCCTCCACTCTTCTATTTGCTTGGGATGTCGCTCAACCTACGCATAAAACTGACTAGAAGAAAATTCTCAAGCTTGACATTCAGCTCAGCCCCTGTTGTCGCAGCGCATGGAGTTCGTGGCTTTTGCTTTGATCGCTCTTGCCCGGTGAAAATACTTCGCCCAGGCCAAATCGAGCCACGAGGACGTTTCATGGTTTGTTTCTTGGCCTTGGCATGACGCAGCGCTGGCGTCAGAGGGTCCTCGAGGTCAGACCTCATGCAGATGGAGCTGCATCAGCTACTCGGCAAAAATCTCCCTGTGAGCTGGGCATCTGCAATTTATCCGACACCTCGGCACACGCGGCGTCCGCATAAAACATGGGGCCCCCCTGCAAAAGCCATGGACGCGCACCTTGGACAGCTTCAAGGCGGACTCAAGTGCAAGCTCGGCACCTGTAATTGCTGCATTGCAGTGTAGACTTTCAACTGCAGATTCCCAGCCTCTGCTAGAGCCCCAAACCGGTCCTGCAAAAACGAAATCTCCAAACTGTGCAGGCTTCAGCTTCAGTCCAATGCCTTCGCCCCAGGCAGGAGGCGCCCAACCATGAAATGATCGCGGCACCTCCACCACGTGCTACATGCTGCAACTGCACCACATGCAAGTCACATGCACTTGGCTTCACAGTCAAAGCAGTCAAGCTCGGGTGGTTGCATCACCAGGCCACGGCGAGGGATGGAAAGCTGGGAAAGCGGAATTTGGGTACCTGAGGTACCATCTATTGACAGGTCTCAGGACTTTCCGTCGTCATTTTTTCTGCAGGCCGCACGCGTCCTGCCAAGCGTACGGATCCCATGCCTCGCACCTGAACAGGTCTTTCAAGGTAATGCTGCTCTTTTGATCCGTACTGCATTCTCTTATCCAAGGGCGGAGCCGTCGTATCGCTGGATCCTACATGGCTTCACAGTCAACAGCTCCAATCTTGATCTCAGCACTAGACCTCCAAATGAGCGCTCATATACGGCATCGATTGATACGATGGCTCCCAATGCCTTAGCTGACCAGACTCAAACAAAAATCACTCAAAAAGAGAGCAGGGGAAGAAGTATTTTGACTCTTTCAGACCGGGGAGTACAGCATGCCCAACCATACCGATGCGTCAGCAAAAAGTGGTAGCAGCTTAGTCACGACCAGGTGTGGCTTTCGTCCAGGACCTAGCCCAGAATGTTCCCCATCTCTCAGAATGTGCAAAGGCTCGCGCTCTCAAACACACGAAGTGATTCTCCAGTGCTGAGCAAAAAGCGGATCGCGCGAAACTGCCTGCCGAGGTACAAGGGTGGTCGCAACCATGTCATGGCACCTGTCCTCACTCTCCATTTTGTCATCTTGCCTGACTCACCATCGGTTGCACGAGGCCTGAGCTAGGCTAAGTAAGCCTGAAGGAAACCATTATGACCCAGTCTTGGTTGTGGACCCTTGCTTGGCAGCGTCCTCCAACACATGTTTCAGGATGCCCTGCGCCTGCCACAAATCCATGCCTCCTTCGTCTGTGAGACGCTACCGCTCTGTGCAAGCGAGATGCATTACCATCCATGTGGTGGGCGATGGCGTCTAGCACCTGCTGAGCTTCAGCCTGAACCAGCAATCCACCTGCAGTCCAAAGCTAAGCTAAGTGGGAAGCGGGGCCTGTAGGCCATGTAGGCCGGCCGTCTCAAAGACTCGTCTCAGAAGATCCAGAGACAAATGAAAGCCAGCCTGCAAGCTGCGAAGGCTGCAAAGGCTGCAAAGGCTGCAAAGGCTGGGAAGTTTGTGAGAAAGAGATGGGAAACTTTGCTGTACAGCAAACGATGTTTTGAGGGCCAGTCATCCTCTGGAGGAGACCGGTTGAAGGCGCAGTCAGTGAGCTGCAGCGCCGTGCCAGCCTGGGCAACGACTCAATGAATCTGCCGAAGTGGACCATCCGTCGTCGACGGGCCTCCGCTCGTGTAATGCTCGCCTCGATGACCGCGCCATACATCGAGACCCTCCCAGTCCTATACACTATACACTTTGTAGAAGCAGACAGGCCAACAAAACAGAGCTAGCAGAGCGGTCCCCAAAGCCACCCCGTCGTGGTCAAGCAGCTCCAGGGCCATGACCTTGGCCCAGCTTGGCCCGGCCCGCACTCCCGCTCTTCAGCACTTCAGCTCCGGCTCAAAACTGATGGTCACCTCCCTTCAACAGAGCGTGCCATGAGTCCCATCATAGCCCGTGAAACCCAAAATCGTTCACGGTCTATAGTGAAGTAAACTGTTTGCATTTAACTCGCCAGCACCGAGGGCTGGACAGCTCTGCTGAGGTCCCGTGACTTCAAGCATGAAGTTATCAAACATGACCAGACCTGACAGACTTCCGAAGTTCGAAGAGTTGGAGTTGTTGGAGTTGAAGAAGCTGAAGTGCAAAGCTTTGGGATTCACTCTGGCACTGTAAGTCCAGGTCCATACGGGTTGGCTGCACCCCGTGTATTTGTCGCATCTCCTGCTCTTAAGCAACTTAAGCAAAGTAAGCAATCAAGCCTAGTCAAGCCACAAACGGCTTACCCCTACGCCAGCACACCACAAACCAACTACTGGAAGGCCAGTCCTTCGCGACTAGGTGCACGGCCAAATCCAGTCGTCCAGCATGTGAGAGGAGCTTCAGGGCAGAGTGGGTCATGGAAAACAATTACAGACCAAGCAACTTTGCTGAGTATAGCCGTGTAGCGCCTTCATCTTCAATGCTAGCAGCTGGCATTTCAGTCTAGCCCAACAACACAGAACAGTTGGAACCAAGTGTGGCCCTGCCTTGACGAGAATTGAGAACGTCACCGCACTGGGCCGGACATGCTTATGCCGCATCTCTGAGAACATGCGCAGTCCTCGGCATTTCTTCAGATCGGCAAACAAGGGATGACCGGTACAGGCTAAGGCCAATGCCAAGTTGGAGATCACCTGCCTGGCCACGTGCAAAGAAGCTCTCTGAGCTGTCCAGAGGCTACCCAACCACAACCCAGCTTGAGGCATTCAGGAATTTGAATGAGGATGCCTTCACACAGCCTTCAAGAAGCGAGTTGTACACGATTTCCTGCGAAGATTTCTTCTATGGCATTGGTCTGTGAGTGGAAAACCTTAAGTCCAGACTGCAGAAGGGCGCACGTCACATTCGAGATTGCGAGCTTGGAGCTCTTCTTGAAGCCGCATGGCCTTGCACTCATATCTTGTGCTGCTATGGTCAAGAAGCACGAGCGAAACTAGCCAGACCAGAAATGCTGCTGCAGACCCTACACTCAAGGTAAAGCTATGCAAGCCCAAACACTTTCGACCGCCAGCGCTTACAGCGCATCAGTGCAACTTTGGTGTGAAATGGGTACCCTTCTTGACTCAGCCATGCTAGCGCGCCTTTGGTAAGTCTCCGCTGCTGCAATAGCCCTTGATCAGAGTGCTAAACCTGGGCTTCCACTTAAGAAGAGATCGGGGATGCTTACAATTCTGAGAATGTCACGTGATTAGATCCGGCTGGACATTTGTAGCTGTCATCTCTTGAAGAACCTGCAGTGTAAAGGCGTCGAGACAACCGTCCGAGGCAGCTCGAGGCAGTCAAGAGTCAAGATAGTCAGATTGCACTGGCCCATCTTTCCGGGTCCAGGTCCAGGCTGGTCCAGGCCTCGGCAGCACCTTGCAGATCGCATGCGCGGACACAGGCGTCAATCAAGCTGTTGAAGACGACCACGTTGCACCTGTCAGTTCAAGTCAGTGAGCCAGGCTGGGAAATTCTGCCGGCATAGGTTTCACCACATGCATTGCACTGAGAACAAGACGGAACTTGCTCAGAGCGCATCTCCCGGTACAAGTTCATTGCTGCAGAGGGATCCTTTGATTTTGCGAAGCCCTGCAAGATGCGAGATCAGGGCAGGATGCACGCACTTTACAATATTCAGGCAAGGCCTTGATGAGGGTGGCATACAAGATTGTATTCCGGTGAAGGCCACGCTGCTTCATGTTCTCAAAGGTCTGCAGCGCCTGGCAATTTTGGGGATCGAGGTTCTTGGCATTTGATAGATTCATTTTTGAGCATTATGAAACGGAGTCACAGGGAGGTATACATGCACCAAACTACCCTGCTGCAGACTGGATTGTGCACAGTGCGGCGGAAGGGCATTCATTTCGCACGTCATGACCCTGATAATTACTACTGACTGGAGATCCCACACATGGCAGTCCCCCTGTTTGCCAGCATCACCGTTCCGCCGAAACCCCTTGAGCGTGGCTCCTACTCGATTTGCGCAGCAGCTGCATTAAACTTTGCCTGCAACGCGTCTGGTGGTCTGGTATCCGAGAAAGGTGGGATAGATGCGTTCAGGAGCATGTGGAGAACCCTTGCAGCAGAAGTACGAGATCTATAGGAGTAAAGTCCGCCTCACTTTCTCTTGCAGGCGGTGCTGCAGTCTGCCGCCGCTCCTTTGGAAAGACCCGAAACGGTCAGGCCTTGGGGCCTGGCCAAACACCCAAACACCCAACATCTCAACGAAAAGCAACTAAAACCAACCATCCCAGCTTTTGGGATCCCCAATCCCCAGAACCACAACCCGCTCCATAACCCCCGCTTCGCTTCAGGGTCCGATCGGGCCGTGCTTGGGCACAAGAACCTAAAGCTTAAGCTGCTGGGCAAAGCACAAAAAATGAAAGGGTACACAACCCGGAAACCACAACCCAACATCTAAAAAGGCTTTGCCCCTCAGTCCTAGTCCCCGGCCTCCAAGCTGCCCCCAAGCCCTTCCCAGACCCTCACAAAGTCCTCCTGGCCAGCCTCCAAGCTGCCGCCCTTCCCAAGACCTCCCAGACCCCCTCCCAGGGCTTATTTCCAGCCTCCCACAGCCTTTTCCTGCTCATTTTCTTTTTAAGGGAGTTCAAAATTCTATACGCCAAACTGGGCCTTGGAGGCAGCTTAAAGGCTGGCTATGAAGACTGAAACACTAGGACTGAGTGGCACTGGGGGGTTGGGGGGGCTGGGAGGTTTTGTTAACGCGCAACTTAAACCTACAGACCCAAACCCTGCCTGAAAAATCTACTCCATCAACAAGAGCGTGTCACCTGGTGACAGAGACGCTAAATTTTCAAAAAAAAACTTAAACTCGACAAAGCCAGATCACAAGTTCCTGAACCCTACGAACCTTTCAACCACCTACAAGTGGCACCAGTCCTGCACTCACGGCCCCAGTGACCGAAGGCCCTGCCGGATCCATCCGACCCAACCCCACCCTACATCCTAACTGCCAATCCAATCTCCACCTAACCTACACTCCAAATCCCAAAGGCACGGAACGCTAAAACCTCGAAGCGAAAAAATTGGAGGAAAAACACTGACTGACCTGCATGCTCCAACTCAAAACATGACAACCATGAAAGCGCCCAAACAATACAAACAGTGAAAACCATAAACCCCCTAAAATCGCGACCCGCTAACACCTACCCGCCGAGACCAACATGCGACCAACACGCCCGACACCCAACGACGGAACGGTCCCCGACTACGCCGTAGGGTTTCGCTCCAACGGATGTCTCATGGCCAGCGCAGGTGTCCAGCACGTGGGGGTTTTTCGACTAACACCTGCTGCGCTTCTAGACGCGCCTAAAGGTCCTGGTGCATCTACCGCAGGGCGGGTTGGTCCATGCAAATGCAGCAATTTGCAACGAAAGCTCCCAGCTTGCTCGGCCTTTTCCAGGTGACCACACTTGACACAGGCATCCAGCATGCACCCATAGGTGACCTCAGCCATGAGCTACCATGCGAACCTTACACTTCCAGATGAATTTGAATCTGCCTCTACCTGACTTGTTTCTGGGTTCAGGTACGTTTGAAAGAAAAGCCTCATGATTTCTGTTCAAACTCCAGCCACACACTATCACAAGGCCTGCACCTTTGCAGACTTGTCCTCATTTAGAAATCACTAGAGTCGTTGACCTGGGCATGCAGCGGCAATGCCGATTTCCTGTCTGAGTCCTCTCGGCCCAGGATCCCCCGTCCAAGCGACACTGACCGCGCTGGTTGGCAGACCATCTCAATTAATTTTATCAGGTATGGAGGCTGGTCTGCACGCAAACAGATGCCGACTCAGCTTCCAGAGCCCAACGAGAGAGCCGGAAGCTGCATGTGCTCGGACCCGCAAGGTGCAGTCGTAAAAAAAGGTAGCCACTGAAGATTGCTCCCAAGTTGCTGCATTCGCCTCAAGACCTTCGCGCTGCATCTCTGTCCAAGCCTGCACTGCACCATTGTCAAACGTGTCTGTGAGAACACGATGTCAACCTCAGTACAGGCCTCAACCACTCTGTCAATGTTGCCTGCATGTCCATATGCCTGTCAGGGAAAATGTGCAGCGCATATGCACATGCACACACACACACACATCGTAGCCCGATAACAACCTTCACGATGGTCCCGTATGTGACGGCCGAACCCTTGATTCGGTACTCCTTCATCTTGGCCAAGGTCCCCTGCGCATGCACGTTCTGCACTGTTCTGCAGCCTGCAGGGACTTAAACACACAGGCCAGCCGGCCAGCCTCCAGCCGAGGCATGTCGCCCAGTTTGCAAAAGACATCTAGCAGGGAGTTCACAAGTACCTGCAAAAGTCATGCACTTCTGCATGAACTTCTGAGTGCTGGCATGCCTTGCCTGTCCAAATCTATCTAGAAACGACTTCTATGCCTTGCCTCATCCACATCCTCTGGCTGGGTCTGTAAGAAGCGCTCCACCATGGCTACGCCCCTGGGAACTCGCCTTAGAGGAGATGCAGACAGACCACTTCAACTTGCAAAACTCCAACGAGCAAGAATCAGCCTCACAAGTATCTTGCACATTGGCAAGTGACCTCTTATCAGAAATTCGATCCGAGAGGTGCTTCGTGAGGATAGAAACCGTGTACCTGCCGACGACCCAGCTACAAGCTTAATTGTCAACTGTCTTCCAACTTTCAACTTTCTGCTGCGCACTTGTCTGCCTTCAGCTGCTGAACTTGCATTTCCTGTCTTCACTCCACAGTGTAAAAGTAGCGTACCGCTTCTTCGTGTTAAAAACTCGTTGATTAGCCTCTAGGATGTCGAACGCTTCATCGAGGTACCGTGGTCCGGATCGTGCTGCAGAGTCCATGAGCAAATTCAGGGAGCCCTGCCGCAGACATGTTTTCCACAGAGGCCTATGCGCATCAAGACTGCCAAGACTACCGAAAAGGCATCCTGCGCCTCGTTTGGAACGTGGCCGAAGCGAGGCATCTCAGTTCGAACGATCCATCGCGCCTGCAGAAACTGATCCTGCACTGCAGTCTCGCCACCCGGCTTCGCGGCCTTCTCGAAGGAGCTGCGGGAGACCAGCCCGCGCAGCATTGCCTCACAGTGGCAGATGTGTGCCAGCACCGCAACAACCGTCATTTCTCAGCTCAGCACGTTGAAAGCAGCAGGGCTGACCAGTCTGACCTTGCCGTAATAAGATATACCATGAGCGCTGTTGAAGCCTGAGCTGGTGGCCTCGCTGTGCGACAATTCTTCCAGCAATCCAACTGCCTTCCACGCAAAACTTCACATGGGCAGAGAATACGGACTAGGTGCCTGGTCCAATTTGTCTAGGTTTGCATATGTCTCCAACAAGTAGTGCCTCAGGTGGGAGAACTACATGGTGAACCTGAACCCAGACAAACGCGACAGCCTCTAGCGGTTCTAGCGCCGAGACACAACAGCGCACGTAAGCCACCGAACACCTAACAATTCAGGAGGTTTCTGATTACGCGCAAGCAACGAAGCCCTCACTTGTGCGCCGCGCGTCTTTTGACTTAACTTTTGTCCCAACAGCTGCTCGAACCTGCAGTGAAAACGCAGCTCTCCACTGACCTAGCTCACACCCTGCGATACATTCCTTGCCTGATGGAATAGCTCTTGAGCTTGCTGAACTCTACATTCCTGCTGCCAACAACTCTGCCAACATCTCAAACAGCTTTCCGCATTTGATAGTCTGGACTTGCTTGCGCCAAGCTTTTCTTGGCAGTACCATTTTGGCCAGGGACCTTGCTGTGAGCTCCGCTGATTTCGGCAGAATCCTCTTTTGCCCACCCGTTTGCTTGGCGGCCCTTTGAAACCCCCAAAAAGCCTGAAACAAAGGCTCACGCGGACAGTGCGACGCATGTAAACTTACCCGGGACGAATTAAGTACACTGTACACATACAAAAAAAGGCGCCAATCCTGCACTGCCGTCAGGAAGTCTTGGACACTTCTGGTGGGCAAGGCCTGGTGCCGCTGCTGCGTTTGATAAAACCAAGAACACGCTCTTCCCCGCAAAGAAACTACAGCATGCTACACAGCCTTCAAGCAACTTGCCGCAGGAGCTGTTGCAGGCCGAAAAGTCATGCCTCCAGTATTCCTGCCAATGTGTTACATTTATTTGTCAAGCGACAGCAACTTCTAGCAACCAGCAACACACGCTTGCATGCATACAGGTGTCAGCATACATGCGTACAGATGAACGAGCTAAGAGCCTGCCAGGTCGGCCACCTGGCGGCAAACAAGCAAAAGCAGCACTGCCACACAAGTCTGCAATAATCGACCGTTTATCGTGCATACCTGCTCCTGGCATGGGAGCTCGCCCCTGCAACAGATGCCGCCAAGGAGTTCAAGCCTTTCGTAAGGGCGGCTTTGCAAGCAAGGCCGTGCCTTGCGCGCAACTGGGCCGACTGGGCCTGAGATTGTAGATACAAAAAGCCGGAAACATCCCAGCAAGAGCGGCTTACATGGTGGCATGTCCCAAATGCCGATTTGTTCGGCGGGAATTCGCCTCATGCTATGTTGCTGGCATGGCAGTCTGGACAGCAAACTCACGTTATGCGTTCTCAACCTACATAACTCTTGGTTGTGTGTCCAGCTTGTTTTTTGCTTCACTTGAGTGAAACTCAAAGCTGCCTGCACTGTATACTTCGAAACTTTCAGGCTAGCATATAAGGAACCGGTACATCAGCTTGCAGTGTTTTACGTTCACAAAAGGTCCACGAAGTGACTTCCTCTGCTGCTGGCATGGCCGTAATACGCAAATTTCTCACAATATATGTTTGCTAACGGTGCATCGTTCACTGCTTCGCAATGATTTCCCCTTGCGTCTGCGTCATCCCCAACTCCACATGCAATGCTGTTGTGAAAATGCTAACATTTGAAACAACACACTGCTAGTTGAAAACAGTTGTGCGATTAACTCATCAAACCATGAAAATATTGTGCTGGCGCACAACTCACGGGAACGCATTGAGCAGAATGAGCATAATGGGATGCAGCAATTCTATGCGATGACATGCGTCCCAACCTTTGATCATCAACCACGGTAAGTGGCAGACATTTTGGCTGCATCCTGCATAAGACCGGCATTCTAAGCTGATGCTACAAATTGTTCTCAACCAACTGAAGTCGCTCTATACACTTCTGCTTGGATGTGAAAAACGACACCATTCATCACGTGCCAAAACAATTAATAACCTTTGCATGTTCACATCGGGGAAGACACGACTAGGACACTATCCTGTTTGTGTTATCTGAAACCATGGATAGCAACCCCCTCAAAAACATCCTCATATTGGGCCAAAAGCTGACATAATGCAAACCACACAAATCATGTGTTCAAATCCATGGCATCGTGTTTCCAAACGTTTCGTGCATTCTTGAAATTGGCAATAAATGCTTGCAAGAAATTGCCTTGTGTCAAATGATCTCCAAGACTCATTTTGTAGCTCGACCGGCCCTAACACAACACGCTACCAAAAAAAACATGTTTAAGTCTCCAAATGTTTCAGCGCTGACACTCCGGCCGTTGAGGGACTGGGCTTCACTGCTTCCAGGCGTGACACATACATAGTCGTGATGACAGGCAGGACATAGCAGCACCAATGACCCTGCTTGAACAATTCATCAATGAACTGCGTACACCGAGTTTGCCAAAATCTTGGTTGAATGCTACGGCACCCATTTCTGATTCCCATAATCATTCCCGAACGCCCTCGGCCGCACTTTGTCCATCAACGAAATGATCACGTTCAGCCATCACATTTGCGGATCCCAACACTGACAGCAAAGTTGCGTGTAAAGTCACCCTCATGACACCATGCTGATGCCAACTCCGCTTGCTTGGTCACGCAATGTTGCATTAAGGTCTTGACAGACACTATGCTGAAAGCCAACCGGAACAAGCACAAACCTTTTTTTGTGCCGCGCGTTTCCACAAACGCATCAAAAAACATTTGTTTACAGTCGCATTTCGCAAGGATGCAAGCGTTCCCACCTTGTCGATGAGGGCGAGTAAATGTTTCTCTTCGTTTTTATCTGCGCAAGCTCCAGTTCTGAGGCCGTCAACCCCGGCAGTTACAGTATCCGTTCACTATTCCCCTAGGGGGTCTATGTACGACCCCTGGTCCAGTCTACGGTTGCATGTAAAGAGCAGTACTGCGCCGGCCGAAAGTTCGACCCACTTTCAAACTTAGAAAAAATTGTCCCACTCAATCCGAGATGCAGCCCTTTTTTCCCCTTAGACTCCTAACACTGGGACTTGGGGGTCTCCACCGGAACTAAATAGTATTAT